AATATTCTCTTGCGTTCAATATATAATAAAATCCAGCGTTCTCTTTAATTCGTCTTTATAAATTTTTTTAGATTCAAAGTGCCTTATATAATAGTTTGGGGAAGGAAATGTGGCATTAGAAGTTATAGGAGATTATTGTTTTTCAAATGCAAAAATGATTATGGTAATTGGTAGTAACCACAATGGGATTTAAAACAATGGTAATGGAATATTAATTAGGTGTATAAATGGTGGGTTATGTGTTGTAAACATGTAGGTACCCTTTTCATATGAATGACAATTTTGTTTATAATTAAAATAGTGGCATTAAGTGATTTGGAGGTTATGACATTTAGTAAATGATTCAAATGGTATGCTTAGTGGAGAAAAATGAAAAGTCAGCTTAAGGAAAAAATAAAATTAAATGGGAATGCATTAGTGGGGGAAAATCGTGAGTGAGAAAAAAAATTTATGATGGGATTAATATGGGGTTGTTTGGTGCACTATATCCAATTTATCTAATTCTTAAAATTTAAACACTAAACATGTATGCAACAATTACAATAACGTGTCGTCAAACTAAAAAATTGTCGTTTACTAGAAATTCGATACCTTACAAAAATTTTGAGAATAAGTGCGCGAAACTTTACTATCGTGACCAAAACTTTAATTTGAACTCTTAGGAAGGGTCGTAGTGACTTAATAATATAACTCAAATTATTTTCAAATTTTACAAGAAAATTTCTTTTAAAACGAAACAGAATTTTTTTTTTCTTTGGGGTCTCTACAATATATATGACATTTACCATTAAAATAATACTCTTAAATGTATGAGACCCCCGAAGAAAATAACAAGAGCTAATTTTCAAATTATCATGTTACCATAGTCATCAAAAGTTGATAAATATCTTTATAAAGACTGTGTTATTTGAAAACTATGCAAGAAACACATGATACATATTTCACCAAAAATTGTAATATTGAAGAAACTGACGTACAAAAAAAAATGAATTGATACAAGAATTGAAATCAGTGAAAGCATGTGCTCTTTTCCCTTCGATCAAGTTTTGTCACACTAGATTTTCTTGACAAGATTTTTGCGAAATAGATATTTTATAATGTGTCATTCAAGATAAAATGTTATAAATAATATGTTTATTAGTGAATCACTACTATGCAAACCTAATTTTTGTTATCATCATATCCATGATTCCTCCCTATAAATATAGGGGTTTGTTTCTTAATAAAACATATAAATTTATTGATTTCTCTACTTTTTTTCTCCTTCTCTCTATTTTATAAGAAATATTTATTTATAACCTGATTTTTTTGAGAGAATTTTATAAATTTGGTTTTTTGAAATTGTAGTGTTAAACTAAGGTAGTTATGATTTTTCCGGATTAATACCCTAAATAGTCACTAAACTTTGCTAAAAGTTCCCAAAATGTCACTGAATTTCAAAACTTCCTTAATTAGTCACTGAACTTCGAAACTACCCTAAATAGTCACTAATTTTTTTCAAAACTACCCTAGTTAGTACTCAACTTTGCAAAAAAATCCTAGGTGGTCACTAAATCATCGATATCTGGGTCACAATTTGCAAAGTTCGATAATCTCATAGGAAGTTTTAGCAAAGTTCAGTGGCTATTTAGGGTAATTTTGAAATTCCTCTTAGAAATTTTTTGTAAAGTTCAGTGAATAATTAGGGAAGTTTTCAAATTCGATGACCTCCTAGAAACTTTTGGTAAAGTTCGATAACTATATAGAGTATTAACTCGATTTTGCCCTTTATTTATTCTTTTTCAATCATTATGGGTCTGAAATGTATTTTCCTGCATAAAATATCCCATTTTTTATATAAAAAAACCAAAATCTCCTCCTCTCCTCTCTCTCTCTCTCTCTCTCT